CCTCCATCTCTAAAATCCGATGGGGACAGCCCATCTGGGCCGGAAGCCTTATGCCGTTGGAGATAACTTATTTCCCGGATACCATTCATTTAAGATGTCAACTGATAGTACTTGCGCAGTTAAGGCGGATGGGGGCAGGTCTTGCGTCGACGGCTGGTACCCATTGAACTGTGCCTTGAAATATTCAGCCCAACGTTCAAGACGGCTTTCCTGAATCTGAATCAGTGTGCCGTCAGACTCCGTAATTACCTTAGTTACGCTCCCTTTCCTTGGTCCTGTATCCCTGACTAATGAGACAAGATTACGTCTATCACCGGTAGCCGCAGTCTTCTCCATCTCTATACACTTCCCTACCCACCACTTTCCGCGGTCATTTCTAGACTCTTAATGGGCGGGCGTTTAAGGGATTTGCTCGCTTTGTCGTATTTCGAATCCGGAGGAATGACTTTGCGAGCGTCCAGCAAGGCAACCGTGGTCGGAGAGATCTATCATTTTTTATTTGACCGTGTGCCAGAATTTACCGTTGTTTAGATCGACGTTTGGATCGATTATTTGATTTTAGTCCAGTGTTCACTGAGTCCTCCGGCTGATGGTTGAGCTGAAAGACGATCTGATAGCTTTGCTTCGAAGGCCGATTCGCAACCGTCGCTGATAATGTATCTTGGTCCGTGCCTACAGGTGGTGACCAGTAGGAGCGGCAGTCCTCAATGGATCCCGCCAGTGGTGGCTGATGGCGATGTGGTCGATTTGAGTCCAGCGATGTGAAGCGGTTGGTGGTCTCCATGTAAGGCGGTGTTGTTTCTTGTGCGAGAACTTCATGCTTGACAGAAACAGTCCGTGGTCAGCGCATAGTGAGAGTAGGCGTTCTCCGCTGTCAGTCCTGTTGACTGGGGTTGCATGTGAATCACCAACTAGCCTTTCTGATTCGTCCAGCGATCCCACTTGAGCATTGAAGTCTCCAGCGATTACCACGATGTCCTTTGATTGAACACTTTGGAGCAGTTGAGAGAGGTCCTTGTAGAATTCATCCTTCACTTCTGGCATATTGCATAGGCGGATACGACGAACAAACACCGTTCAGTAGCTGTTGATCCGTACTAAACCATCCAGACGTAGTGCACAAATTCGGCTGCCAACCGTGGTCCAGTCGAGAAATGAACACTCGGCCTTGATACTTAGCGCAATTCCAACACCAACAGCACCACGAGTTTCGGATGCCGAACGCCAGCTCATTAAGAGTCTGAGGAATGACCGCGATAAGTGTTGGGTAAGAAAGTTTAATGAGATGGAGAAAGCTGCGGCTATTGGTAGTAGTCGCAATCTTTTCCGTCTAGTGCGGAATACGGGCCCCAAGACAATAATTAGGGATTCGATGGTACACTGATTCAAATTCAGGAACACTGTCTTGATCAATGGGCTCCCAGTTAATGCCAGTCCTCCATCTGAAATGGAGATTTCTCGGGAAATCAGTTGTCTCAAAAGGCGTAAGGCCTGCAGCGCAGATGGGCTGTTCGCATCCGCATTTAAGGATGGAGGTTCAACTTTAGTCTTTGAGTTGACGAAACTCCTGGGCTCAGTATGGGATGGTGTGGATCGGTCATTCAACCGATTTACAAGAAAGGCAACTGATCCTCTTGTGAAAACCACGGAGAATTTAGTTTAATCAACATTGCCTCTAAACTTCCCGCAAGGATCATACTCTGTCCATTGTCCTGGTCTAGGTTGTATCGACCACATCTTTACTCCTCGCGAAATTCTGGATCACTGACATTCTTTTCGAAGACTCACTATCTCTGTCTTCCTCGATCCGAAAGCGGCTTTCAACTCAGTCGACCGTTCTGAACGCTGGCGCTGCTTCGATCTGAGGAGTGTGCCCGAGAAGTTTATTTCAACAACACAATCCATTCATACTAATAGCCGAAGTCGAGTCCGAGCTTACGGCACTTTTTCGCACGAGTTCACCACGGAAAGGAGTGTTCGTTAGGGTTGCCCTCTTTCTCCTTTTCTCCGTTATGGAAACAGCCCTATCCTCGTGCGAGGATGGATTTTCTCCCAGGCGACAGACTGTCTGATATGGAGTATGCTGACAATATTGTACTGCTAAGTGGTGATCCAGGTAAGTTGCAAGCTTTTCTGTATAGTTTAAGCGCTAGTGTAGCCGCGCTCAGTACGCATTTTGCACTTTCAAAGTGTAAAATATTTCTAAAGGACCAAATTGGTCTAGTATCCAGTCTTACTCCAACTGAGTGGGTAATTTTTGTTATTTAAGCAGCTATATCTCACCTAGTGGACGCCTCACGGATGAAGTATCAGCTCGCATACAGAAGGCTCGGTCGGCATTTGCTAAC